CCCGAGGAAGACCAGAGACAAGGTACCGGGCGTGCATGCCCCGAAGGCGCTGCACTGACGGGTGACCAAGTCGGTGGTGCCAGAGGACAGTCTTGTGCGTTAGAGAGCGACACGAGCAGGGGGCAGACAGCTGACCTGACGCAGACGCAGACGCAGACGCCGCTACCTGAGGGGACTCAGTGGTCAGTGTGTACAGGTCCGACCCCGGCTGCCGAGTGAAGGTAGCCAGGTGACGGCCCGTCCGAGCACACGTGCAGTGTGTCACACGCTCGTAGGCAGGGGTGAACTGGTGAACACCCCCATCCTGAAGCGCACAACCCGCCACCAAGTTCGTAGAGAACGAGGGGAGGTGGAGACCTGACAGTGTGCCCGACGGGACAGCAGGACAAGGAAGGAGGGTGGAGGAGGTCGCAATGACCGGACCCCCAGAGGGGTCAGCGAGCGAGACAGCGACTGGTCGAGCAAGGGGCTCAAGAGCAGTGCGGTCACGAAAGAAACAGCGCGAAGCGCCTGAGTCTAGAGTGAAGGTGTGCAGTGCCTCAGTGGACTCAGTAGCACCTGGGGCGGCGGACACACACGCACCTAGAGCAGTAGCCTCACCAGTACCTGGGGCAGCAGACACGCAAGCACCTAGGGCGGTAGCCTCACTCGTGCGGATGCCTGGGTCAGGCGGAACACTCAGGTACTGGTCCTCCTCTCCACTAATAGTCAATGCATACATTGCTTTGAGAATAACATCAAAATCAAGAGCATAGATATCAATATCCTTCTTGAGGAGATCAGCCCACTGAGGAAGCTCAGGAGCGTCAGGAAACTGAGCACGCCAAGCGTCATCTAGGCGAGAGAAGCAGCGCTGCGAAGTGTGCGCCCTCCCGCACGTCTGTCCCTTGCGGCGACCAGTGCGGATGACGTACGTGCAGCTAAGGCTACCCCCCCCACCCCCGTGCTGTAAGTACCACTCACGAAGCTCCTGGGAGGACTGAGGGTGCTGCGCGCTCTAGCCAGTGCCAGAGCCTCCACGACCACCACCGCCGCCTCCACCACGACCACCACCGCCCCTGCCGCCGCCACGTCCACTGCCGCCACCACCACCGCCCCCACCGCGGCCACCGCCGCCGCCGCTGCCTCCACCACCCCCACCGCTGCCACTAGCCCCTCCAGCCCCGCCACCGCCCCCGCCGCTGCCACCACCCCCACCACCACCTCCCCCGCCGTCACCCCCACCGCCCTTGCCTCCCCTGCCCTTGCCGCTGCGGCGCCCGCTGGGAGCGGACGCAGAGCCGACCTGCTCAGCACTAAGAAGGTCGAAAGCAGCAGCAGAGGCGACAGAGGGGAGGAGGGGGGAGGGGGAACACCCCTCGAAGAAAGGGGTGCGGGGGTCGCCACGAGAGGCACCTACAGCTACAATACTCTTCTCAGCTGCAAGTAGTTCCTTCTCTAGGGCGGCAATGGTGAGCTCAGTGGGACAGCGAGCTAGGAAGTGGTCCCTGACTGTACGCAGAGTGTCAGGGAGGCGGGTGACTAGGTGGTAGAGAGTGAGCCAGAGCGGGGGAGGGTTGGATGCAAGAAACTCAGCGGGCATGGCTGCACGGAAGCGGGCATCACTAGTACGGAGGTGAGTGATGAGGTCAGCGACTGTCTGGAAAGCGGACAGGTCGGGGAACAGGTAGGGAAGGGAGAGACGGCCTAGTGCAGCTGAGGCCGGGGAGGAGTAGCGCGCAACTACAGCAGTGTACAGGGCCTGCGCAGTCTGATGCTGGCCGAAGTGCTCACGCTCATCGACTGGCAGGGAGTTGCGAATGGCAAAGCGGGCGTGGGCATCGCGAGTCTGCCACTGCGAGCGAGCAGTAGCGGTAGCAGTAGTAGCAGGAGCAGGGACTGTGCCTAGTGCGTGATCGTACAGCGAGATATCCTCTCTAGCAGTGAGCTGGAGGAACAGGTGCAGATCATCAAGCCAGGTATCAAACTTAATCGGGCGGCCCTCAGAATCGAACGAGAGAACTGTAGGGCTAGCCATAGCTGAAGTAGCAGTAGCAGCAGTGGTGGTAGTAGCAGTAGCAGTAGCAGTAGTAGTAGCAGTAGTAGTAGCAGTGCTGTGCACAGGTAAGTAGGGCGCGGCTCGGCTAGGGCGGCGCGGCTCGGCCAGGGCGGCGCGACTCGGCTAGGGCGGCGCGACTCGGCTAGGGCGGCGCGGCTCGGCTGGGGCGGCGCGGCTCGGCTGGGTCGCGCGGTTCGGTTCGGGTCGCGCCGTGCGGCTCGGTCGTAGAGGGGCGAGCGCGGGAGGGCCGGTCGGGGCTAGCGCGGGAGGGCCGTGAGAGGCTAGCGCGGGGCCTGCAGGGGCCGTGGGAGGCTAGCGCGGGGCCGACGGGGGCCTTAGGAGGCTAGCGCGGGGCCGATCGGGGGCCTTAGGAGGCTAGCGCGGGGCTAGCGTGGGGCCGACGGGGGCTTAGGAGGCTAGCGCGGGGCCGATCGGGGGCCTTAGGAGGCTAGCGCGGGGCTAGCGTGGGGCCGACGGGGGCCTTAGGAGGTTAGCGCGGGGCCGATCGGGGGCCGTGAGAGGCTAGCGCGGGGCCATACGGGGCCTTGAGAAGGAGGCGCTCGAGGCGCAGGAAAAGAACGGCGGCGCACGAGGGCGCGGCTAGCGGAAACGGTGGGCCCTATCGTTTCGGTCCTAGGTGGAACCTAGGCTCGTAATACCATGTCAGAATGAGAAACGAGAATGAGGAGTGACTAGCAGGAACAACAGTACAAATATGTCAAACCCTAATCTGGTGTACCCCTTATGGTGTAACCCACTACAGCCTAGAACCACACAAACATATAAATGTTTGACAGCAGAGGCCGCAGTAGAATGCGGCGAGGCCACAGCAGAGGGCGGTGTGGCCGCAGCAGAAGGCGGCGAGGCCGGAGGTGAGGGCGGCGAGGCCGCAGCAGAGACGGGCAGCGACGGGCCGCTAGTAGGGCGGCGATGGGGCCGTAGGGAGAAAGGGTGTCGACGGGCCGCCTTAGGGCGGCGGCGGGCCGTTGTTGAAAGGGCGGCGACGGGCGGCGGCTAGGGCGGCGACAGGCCGCTGCTAGGGCTGCGACGGGCCATCGCTAGGGTAAGGGCGACGGGCCGTCGCTAGGGTAAGGGCGACGGGCCGCAAAGGGCCGCTAAGGGCGACGGGCCGCTAGGGCGACGGGCCGCTGAGGGCGACGAGCCGCTAAGGGCGACGGGCCGCTAGGGCAACGGGCCGCTGCTAAGGCGACGGGCCGCTAGGGCAACGGGCTACTAAGGGCGACGGGCCGCTACTAGGGCGACGGGCCGCTAAGGGCGACGCGATGGGCCGCTAAGAAGGGCGCGACCCTAGGTGCGCTTCGGGCAGGGGCAGGACGCGCCCCGGGCAGGAAAAAAAAAAGTTGGTGGGCCCTAGGAAAAGTTCCCACGAGGGAACCTGCTCGATACCATGAGAAAATATGAACGAGAATGAATGAACTAAGGAATGAAGTGAGTACAAGTACTAACCCTAATTGGGTTGTACCCCGTATGGGATACCCCACTATAGCCTACACAAAAGTAGAAGCTATTATGTTCTGACAGTATGAACTTGTATGATACATTTTTTTTTTTTTTTTTGATGTTGTTTCTTTCAGATCCTTTGACAATTTCTGGCTCTCAGATTGTTAAGTTGATGATCTTGAGCGCTCAGCAATTCAAGTACGTAATTTTGTATCATCAATATTGGAGGGTTTTAAGCGTATGAGATGTGCTGTATTTTCTTTATGCCAATATTATATGTTTTTTTTGTTTGTGTCAATTCATCTGAAAGTGTATCAGAGTTTGGGGTTAAGGGTCAAATGTAAATCGAAGAATGTTTGTGTCAAACTATATATGCTATAGTTTGTTTAGGCTGTAGTGGGGTAGTCAATATGGCGTACAATACTTTAGGGTTTCCTACTTGTACTCCTCATGCTGCTCGATGCAATCATTCATTCCTCGTTTTCATTCTCACATGGTTTCAGAGCAGGTTCCCTAGTGGAACACTCTATAGGGCCCACCGCGATTTTTTTTTTCCTGCCCGGAGCGTGCTTCGCTCCTGCCCGAGTCGCGCCGCCCTTAGCGGCCCCTCTCACGGCCCCTTGAGCCGCCCTCACGGACCCGCGCGCCGCCTTTGAGAAAACTAGAACGAGAATGAATGAACTATGAATGAAGTGAGTACAAATAGGAAACCCTAATTGGGTTGTACCCCATATGGGATACCCCACTATAGCCTACACAATAGCATAAGCTATAAAGTCCTGACACACCCCCATAGGCAAAGTGGGGGAGAACAAGGGGTCACAAGACCAGTCAAGCAAAGCAAAGCAAAGCTCAGGGTGGATCACAAAGTCACCACACATTCTGAGCACAAGTTCAAGGCCAGAAGGCCAGCTCACATGCAGGAGCATATATATATATAAGAAGCTAAGTAAGCAAGAGCAAGAGTATATATATATGACAGTACAAGCAAGGTCAAGAAGTGAGCAAGTGAGGCAAGACAGGAACAAGTCCAAGCTGAGTACAGAAGCGCTGATGATCACAAGGCGCAAGTGCCTTGGTGAAAACATCAGCAGTGTTGGCCTCAGAGGCCACGTACGCAAGCCGCAACTGTCCACGCTGCTGTAGCTCACGAGCAAGGAAGAAGCGGAGAGCAATGTGCTTCGTTCTGTGCTCCAGTCGCTGCTCTCGACACAAGGCCAGCATGGCCTTGTTGTCTACGTACAGAACTGGAGGAGAACGAGGCGGCTCTCCAAGGTCGGTGAGCAGGTAGGTGAGCTAGCGAAGCTCCTGTGCAGCCATGGCCCCTGCGTAGATCTCAGCCTCACAATTGGAGCCGAGAACAGAAGACGAGCGAGTAGCCCGCCACGAGACCAAGGCTGAAGGTGTAACCCTGTGACGACCGCTGTGTAGCCTGGTCGTCAGCTCGGCTGCTCGGCGGCTCGGCTGCGGCTCGGCGGCTCGGTGGGAGGGCGGCTCGGCGATGCAGCAGGTGACGGGCCGGGACAGGCGGCGCACGGGCGGCGAAGAGCCGGGACAAGCGGCGTGGGGCCGGAGCGGGTACGGCACGGGCGGCGACGGGCCGGGGCAGCTGCGCGGGGCCGGGACGAGCGGCGCACGGGCGGCGTGGGGCCGGGACGGGCGGCGCACGGGCGGCGTGGGGCCGGGACGGGCGGCGCACGGGCGGCGTGGGGCCGGGACGACGGCGCGGGGCCGGGACGGACGACGCACGGGCGGCGTGGGGCCGGGACGGGCGGCGCACGGGCGTCGACGGGCCGAGGCAGCGGTGCGCGGCCGGGACGGGCGGCGCACAGGCGGCGTGGGGCCGGGACGGGCGGCGCACGGGCTTCGACGGGCCGGAGCAGCAGCGCGCGGCCGGGACGGGCGGCGCACAGGCGGCGTGGGGCCGGGACGGGCGGCGCACGGGCGGCGTGGGGCCGGGACGGCGGCGCGCGGCCGGGACGGGCGGCGCACGGGCGGCGTGGGGCCGGGACGGGCGGCGCACGGGCGTCGACGGGCCGGGGCAGCGGCGCGCGGCCGGGACGGGCGGCGCACAGGCGGCGTGGGGCCGGGACGAGCGGCGCACGGGCGGCGTGGGGCCGGGACGGCGGCGTGCGGCCGGGAGGGCGGCGCACGGGCGGCGTGGGGCCGGGACGGCGGCGCGTGGCCCGGACGAGCGACGCACGGGCGGCGTGGGGCCGGGACGGGCGGCGCACGGGCGTCGAAGGGCCAGGACGGTCGGCTAAAGGCGCCACTAGGGGCCGAGAGAGAGGGGAGCGCGACTCGAGCAGGAGCTGAGTGCACTCCGGGCAGGAAAAAAAAAACGGTGGGCCTTAGGAACAGTTCCCACGAGGGAACCTGCTCGATACCATGAGAAACCTGAAACGAGAATGGATGAATTAACAGTGAAATGAGTACAAATAGGAAACCCTAGAAATGTGTACCCCCTATCGGCTAACCCACTGTAGCCTAAGTAACTACAACAACATATATAATGTTTTACAGGCGGAAGTGCCTTGGTGAAGACATTGTCAGAACATTGTAGCTTACTCATTTTTGTAGGCTATAGTGGGGTATCCCATAGGGGGTACAACCCAATTAGGGTTTCATATTTGTACCCACTTCATTTCATAGCCATTCATTCACGTTCATTTTTTCACATGGAATCAGAGCAGGTCCCATCCTAGGGACTGTTCTTTAGGGCCCACCGAAGCGCGCCCGAGGCGCGCGCCTTTTTTTTTAGCGACCCTCCGAGTCGCCCTTCTCCCTTGCTAGCGGCCCCGCCGTCCCGTCGCGGCCCCGCCACCCAGTTGCGGCCCCGCTACCCCTACGCGCGGCCCTGCCACCCCTTCGAGCGGCCCCGCCCCCCTCAGTCGCGGCCCCGCCACTCCGTCGCGGCCCCGCCACTCCGTCGCGGCCCCGCCACCCCTTCGAGCGGCCCCGCCACTCCGTCGCGGCCCCGCCACCCAGACGCGGCCCCGCCACCCAGACGCGGCCCCGCCACTTCGTCGCGGCCCACCCGCCGCCCTATCTGCGGCCGTCCCGCCGCCCTACTGCGGCCTACCCGCCGCCCTGTCTGCGGCCTACCCGCCGCCCTACCTGCGGCCGTCCCGCCGCCCTGCCTGCGGCCTACCCGCCGCCCTACCTGCGGCCGTCCCGCCGCCCTATCTGCGGCCTACCCGCCGCCCTACCTGCGGCCGTCCCGCTGCCCTGCCTGCGGCCTACCCGCCGCCCTACCTGCGGCCTTCCCGCCGCCCTTACCTGCGGCCGTCCGCCGCCCTACCTGCGGCCGTCCCGCCGCCTTACCTGCGGCCTACCCGCCGCGCTCCCTGCAGCCCGCCCGGCCGCCCTACCTACACGGCCCAGCGGCAGCCGAGCCGCCGCGCCACCCAGGAGCAGCCGCCCAGGAGCCGCCGAGCCGCCCACCAGCAGCCGAGCCACCCAGCAGCAGCCGAGCCGCCCAGGAGCTGCCGAGCCGCACGGAGCCGCCGAGCCGCCCAGCAGCAGCCGAGCCGCCCGGAGCCGCCGAGCCGCCCAGCAGCAGCCGAGCCGCCCAGCACCAGCCGAGCCGCCCAGCAGCCTAGTGGCCGAGTCGCCAGGCGACCTTCCTCCCGAGCCGCCCGACCTGCCCTGCCCGGTGAGCACTACACTGCTGTCGCTGCGTACCCTTCCCCTACTGCTTGCACTGCTCCACTCTCGTAGTCATGGCTACACCCAGTGTCCTCGCTTTTGACGCTGAGGGTCGAGCCATTGACTTTGAGGTCTGGCTCGACGACCTGCAGCTGTTTTTACAGTGCGACAGGGCCGACGGTCTGTCTCTCTTTGACCTCACCTCTGGCGCCGTCCCTGCCCCTGCTGCTGATGCTGACGCCACTGTTCGCTCTCAGTGGGCCACGCGCGATGCTGCTGCACGTCTTGCTGTGCGTCGCCACCTGCCTACCGCTGAGCGCGCGCACTTTAGCCAGTACAAGAGTGCTCAGACCTTGTACGACGCTGTAGTTGCGCGCTACTCCTCCCCTGCCACTGCTGCACTGAGCCGCCTCATGCTCCCCTTCCTCTTCCCTGACCTTGCCGCCTTTCCCACTGTCGCTGATCTCATCACGCACCTCCGCACTAGTGACACTCGCTACCGCGCTGCGCTTCCTGCTGACTTCTGCGCCAAGAACCCCCCCCCCCATGTACATCACTCTCTACTTCTTAGTCACTCGCCTCCCTGACTCCCTTCGTGTAGTCCGGGACCACTTCCTCGCGGTCTGTCCCACCACCCTCACAGTTGACAGCCTCGAGAAGGCCCTCCTTGCAGCAGAGAAGAGCATAGTTGCTGTAGGAGCCTCTCGAGGTGACCCCCGCGCCCCCATCTTTGGGGGGTGTTCTCCTTCCCCTCTCCTGCCCTCTATCGCCTCTGCCGCTGCGGCCGACCTCGTTGGTCTTGAGTCGGTCGGTGCGGCGTCTGCCCCTAGTGGGAGACGCCGCTCTGGCAAGGGCAAGGGAGGCAAGGGAGTGGGTGGGGGCAGTGGGGGCGGTGGCGGTGGAGGCGGAGGCGGCGGAGGGAGTGGGGGTGGCGGTGGAGGTGGTAGCGGGGGTGGGGGTGCTAGTGGCGGCAGTGGAGGCGGGAGTGGCGGCGGCGGTGGCGGTGGTGGCGGAGGTGGCGGAGGTGGCGGCGCTGGAGGCGGAGGTGGGGGCGGTGGAGGCGGAGGCGGGGGTGGCGGAGGTGGAGGTGGTCGGAGTGGACCGTCGCGGCGGAGCGGCACTGGTGGCGGTCAGCGCCAGCAGCAGCAGCAGCAGCAGTAGCGCTCTCGCGACGTCCCCACCCCTCAGCAGCTCCGTGAGTGGTACACGCAGCGTCAGCGTGGTGGGGGTTTTGGTCCCTGCACCTACGTTCTCCGCACTGGCGACCGCACTGGAGAGCAGTGTGGGGGTGCCCACCCCGCCCAGCGCTGCTTTGGCCGCCTGACGGACGCGTGGCGTCAGCAGTTCCCGGAGGCCGCGGAGATCCCCCGCTGGGGAGAGCTGTCTAGGGCTGGTGTGGCTATCTTTGATCTTGATTTTGATGCTATCCTTGCTGCCATGTATGCTGTGACTATTAGTGATAAGGGTGACTGTTACCGGTGTTTCCCGCCCGACCCGGGCATTGGTACTGCTGCTCCAGGTGCCGGTGAGGCTTCTGCTCTAGGTGCCAGTGCGTCTGTGCTCTCAGGTACTGTTGAGACTGCTCCCTCAGGTGCCAGTGCGACTGCGCTCTCAAGTACTGCGTCGGCTTCGGCCTCCCACACCTTCACTCTTGACTCTGGAGCGTCTCGCTCCTTCTTTCGGGACCGCACCACACTTACACCGCTTAGTCGGCCGGTTGCGGTTTCCCTGGCTGACCCCTCTGGGGGTCCTGTCTTGTCTCGCTTCTCCACAGTCCTCCCGTGTCCGGCGGCTCCCTCTGGCACCCTGTCTGGTCTCTACCTCCCCTCGTTCTCTACGAACTTGGTGAGTGGTGCTGACCTACAGGATGCGGGAGTCCACCAGTTCACCCCTGCTCGTCAGCGAGTGACGCACTGCACAGAGGCTAGCACGGGTCGTCACCTGGCTACGTTTACACGTCAGCCGGGGTCGAGCCTGTACACACTGACCACTGCTTCTCCTCCAGCTTCTGAGTCTGGTCGAGTCCCTTCGTCTGGTCAGGTGTTTGCTGCAGCGTCCAGGTCTGGTCCTGAGTCTGCCCCCTGTTCGTGTCGCCGTCTGTCTCACGAGACCCTCCTCTGACACCACCGCCTTGGCCACCCCTCTCTGCTTCGGCTCAGAGGCATGGCCTCCCGTCTTCTTGTGTCTGGTCTCCCCCGGTCTCTACCTCCCCTTCCTCAGGGCCCTGGCCTTGCCTGTGTCGAGGGGCGCCAACGTGCTGCCCCTCACTCCTCTCAGTCTCCTCCGACAGAGGCTCCGTTGCAGACACTTCACATGGACGTGTGGGGCCCAGCCCGCGTCCGTGGACAGGGTTAGGAGCGCTACTTCCTGCTCGTTGTTGACGACTACTCGCGTTACACCACAGTCTTCCCCTTGCGCAGCAAGGGTGAGGTCACTGAGGTGCTGATCGACTGGATCCGCGCAGCTCGTCTTCAGCTCAGGCAGAGCTTTGGCTCCGACTTTCCTGTGTTGCGTCTGCACTCGGACAGAGGCGGAGAGTTCTCCTCTGGCCTTCTGCGTGCCTACTGTCGTGCGCGAGGCATCCGCCAGACCTTCACGCTTCCGGACTCCCCGCAGCAAAATGGGATTGCTGAGCGCCGCATTGGCATGGTCATGGACGTCGCCCGTACGTCCATGATGCATGCGGCTGCCCCCCATTTTCTGTGGCCGTTTGCGGTCAGGTACGCAGCGCATCAGATCAACCTCCACCCCAAGGTCTCCAGGCCGGAGACCTCCCCAGCCCTGCTGTGGACGGGGAAGGTTGGCGATGCGTCGGCGTTCCGGGTCTGGGGATCTCGGGCGTTTGTCCGCGACTTGTCTGCGGACAAGCTGTCCCCTCGCGCTGCTCCCTGCGTCTTCCTGGGGTTCCCCCCCGACGCCCCTGGGTGGCAGTTCTACCACCCCACCTCTCGACGTGTTCTGTCCTCCCAGGACGTCACGTTCGACGAGTCGGTACCCTACTACCGCCTCTTCCCCTACCGCACTCCGTCCCTCCCCCCGCCCCCGCTCTTCTTGGTACCAGGTCCCCCCCCGGTAGACCCCCTCCCCCCTCAGGGTCCTGCCCCTTCAGGTGTGTCCCAGGTAGACGCGGTCGAGCCTGTCGAGGTCACTGGTGATTCTGGTGCTGCTGCGGGAGCTGAACCTGTCGTCGCTGAGACTTGAGGTGCTCCGCCTGAGGGTGCTGAGCCTGGGGGTGCGGAGACTGGGGGTGCTGAGCCTGGGGGTGCGGAGTCTGGGGGTGCTGAGCCTGGGGGTGCTGAGCCTGGGGGTGCTGAGCCTGGGGGTGCTGAGCCTGGGGGTGCTGAGCTTGGGGGTGCTGTGCCTGGGGGTGCTGTGCCTGGGGGTGCTGTGCCTGGGGGTGCTCTGCCTGGAGGTGCTTCGTCTCGCCGAGAGCCACTCTCCCCACAGGAGCTGCGTGAGTGGTTTGCCAGGCGCTGGAGGCGTGCTGCTGGTGCTGGAGGTTCTTCGGTTGCAGAGGGTACTGCTGCCGAGCGTCCGGGAGGTGCTCGTACTGTGGGTGCTGGAGCTGCTGGGTCTCAGGGTTCTCCTGGAGCTGGTGCTGCTGAGGGTGTTGGCGCTGAGACAGCCGCTGGCGGTCCGCTCGCCAGTGCTCCTGGTGGTGCTGCTGGAGGTTCTAGAGCTACTGGATGTGCTGCTGGAGGTGCTGCTGGAGCGGGTACTCCTGCTGGGGGTACTGGTGCTGTCCCCGCTGTTTCTGGCGTCGCCGCGCGGCCCCGACCGTACTTCGTTCCGCTCCTGCAGCAGGTTCTTGGTCTTACACCTTCTCCTGGTCCTCCTCCTCCTCCCT